TTGACGCCAACAGTCTCGTTACAACGGGGGTCAAGCTGATCCCCCTGTGGTTACCACACTCACTACGCGCCACCTTTTTTGAAAATGGGCACCATCACCGATTCTCCCCAGTTGTCTGGAACAGACTCCTTTTCCCAAGTGCAAGCAAACAGATCAGACAAGCGCTGACTGAGGACTTCATCTCCACCTTTGAACAATGCGGGTGGGAGGTCATCCGGGTCAGACGATCGGTGGCGCTTGAGAGAACATATGTAGTCGTAAACCTCCGAGGCCGTAGGTGGTTCCACGTTCATCGTTCAGGGTTCTACCTCAACTGAGGGCTCTAGACGAGTGTCAGCTGGTGGCCACGACAGTTGTTGTTCGAAGTATTCAGCCCAGCGTTCTCCTTTATTCACGGTGATAGTTCCATTCTGATCCTTGATGGTTTCGCTTAATAAATACTAATAGTTCAACCGCCACACCCTTTTAGTGCTTAGATGCGTTGTCACTTGGAGAAATGATGGGTCTGAAGTTACTGAAGGTTAGACAGGAACAGTCGAGATGCCGTGTTGAGTTCGCACCACGGAGTTTCCGGTCAGTAAGTTCGCGCCTCAGCTACTGAGCCATCTTCTTCTCCCTCATTCCCACCAGTAAGCCGGTTGGACTTATGCATCAGCTACGATACCCTGGTTTGAGATTGAGACCGCTTCAAATAGAGGAGCGTTCTACGACATTTCTGGCGTCGAAAAATATCTCATACCGTACCCTTATAAGCGATAAAGACTAAGTGACCGCCAAAGTTTCTGATGACCTAGAACGTCAAAAGCAGCTTTCAGGTAAGAAAAGCGACCAAGGTTGGACTTTTGAAAAGTTGGAGTTGCTAAAGTACTTGTCCCAAAGCAAAGATATGGTCAATGCATTCTCGGACAGGACGAAAACCAATTTAATCGTCAAGAATGTCTCACGATAGCTTACCAACCTGCATAAAGTAATGCGGGAGGGAACCTAGGATTCCGTGATGGCTTTCGAATGGTATACTTGTTTCGCTTTTGAGGACTACAGTCACGGTCGAAGCCTCGTCACAGTCGAGCGTGAACTAAGCGATCATGAGTTACGTTGAATTGTTTTTGGCGAAAAAAACTCACCCTCGATGAACAAACTGAATTTTCGTCATAAATTGCGCTGACTTCTTCTGCACTTCAAATATCAGCTTGTCGATTTTCTCTGTCAGCCCTTTTCGCTCTACCTTATTCTTAGCGAAGGCGCGCTAAAGGAAGCCGGACAACAATCTGTCAGAGGAACGTGAGAACCGTAACCAACACACTCGATCAAGTTGACAGCCGCCACTTCTCTGGATGGGAACCCTGATGTGGGACACACCACTGATTAAACCCCGACAGACAAGCTGAGTTACGTAGCCGGATCAATCGTATTCAACGCGTAGCTACCTTTTGTTCCTAGATCAGTGGCGAACAGCTACCTTGATCATGCGGTCACTTGCCGATTCACATTCTAAAGGTGTCCTTTACCTCTTTGGTGCACAGCTTTACCCATATGTTTGACATACTCAGTAAATAAAGGTGACAGCTAGAACAATGCTCCTGATGTGAGTACTGCTGGTGATGATTTTCACATGCCTAAACAGAAACTAATTCATAGTTGCCCTATCTCACTGTAGCTGCGTCATTCTTCGTTACCGATGACTTTGCGAAGCAGATAATATACAAATTGCTTGAGTTTTATACCAAACCCTCCCAACATTATCTTGCTGCATGTATGAAGATTATTTTAATTACAATGTCTGATGAGAAAGTTCTTTTGTTTCTTCTCAGCTGCTTCCTTTTCTTTACCCCTTACGATGGATAAAAGCCGCCGGGGAACTGGAACCCTATTGCCAAGACAGGCAACTGTCAAACGGACAAGGTAACTCAGTCAGCTACCGCTTCATAATATACCTAGTGTCTCTTCAGATTCTTCGATGAAATGGATAGATAGCTTTGTCAAAAGGGAGGTCGCATCCAGGGCTTCCGTGAGCCGTAGGGTTTCAGCTAACCTGAGGTCGGCTAGTTTGTTGCCACCAGACGCCATTGCAATGGCGGATTTTGATGTTTCTTCTGCTTCAAGTCCAGAACCGGACTGTTTCCTCGGGACGGGCCATGAATTCATGGGAATCGAATCAGCTGACGTAGAGGTAGGTTTCTTGTGAACTACACTGGTATTGTCATTAATAGTAAAATTGTGAGGATAAGAATCATGAGTTGTAATACTGAATAGCCTTTAATGTCTTTTGTTTTGATTATTGTCCGAACCGCTGACCTGGATTCACTCTTCAGGGGCATATTAGATGTGTTCTTGTTCAAGTAGACATATTATGGGCTTCTCTGCAGATTTTCGTGGACTACTATTTCTGTCGTCGAGATCAGTAGGTCTCAGAATGACCACACCAGCAACTAGCGACTGTGATTAATCGACCGATTAATCAGGAGCTTGTGGAATGGGTCAATCGGGAACGCCCAGTAGATGAAGAGGGAAGACAGTCACACCCCATTTCAGCTGATTCGATCAACCGGTCAAAAAGGACGTGTCAGTAAAACAATATGCGAAAGATTTGGAACAGTAATTCACTCACAAAATCATCATCTTGAGCGATGGGCCGAACAGTTTAGCTGGCCTCCTTCAGTACAACCCCTGGAAGAATCCAGCAGGCGTGAATGGAACATCAAGACCAGCCCGCCCTCAGCAGCAGAAATCCAGCGTGAGATATCAATCCTCCGACGCGACATTGCACCTGGCTGGCTTAGTTTGCACCCCCATACTCTTCAAAAAGAGTGGTGAGTTCCTGGTGAACAGTCTGACAAACACACTTCAGAAGATTCGGGACGAAAACAGAACATCAGTCTAATGGAGCTTTTCGCCAGCCATCCCAATCTTCGAGAAGGGAGAAAACGTGAAAACTGTTGTGGAATCAGCCTGGTATCCGTCGCATCTAAGGTGCTCTCAGCTTACTTTTCATAAGTTGATCGATTGTCGGGAGAGACAGATCCGTGGGAACCAAACTAGGTTTTGTCCTGGCTGAGGGTGCATTGACCATGTTTTAACCTTAAGACAAGGCACCATTCCTTCAACTATCTCAGTTTGGTCGTTTCTTGATCTTAAGGATGCTTTTGACTCTGTTGATCACCAGGAACTTTGGCCGTGTCTGGTGACCAAAATGTCTCTTACAAATTTATATTCCTTATGAGGGCATTGTATGCGCGTATGAGTATACAACAGGCTTCCGCATGAGTTTACTACATCCAGCGGTGTAAAACGGCTGCCCTC